CTGCAGGTTTGCAAGTTCTCAGGTGTTTCTACTTCCTTCCCTCTTTGCCCATGTCTGACTCCCCTCACGCACGCCTGCTCGAAACCTCCAGAGTTACTCAGGAACACCAGCGGCCTTCTCCAGTGAAGGCAGGGTGGCTCTCTGGGCTGCGCGGACGACCTCCCCTGGATCAGCTGGGAAAGCTTTAATAATCCCGAGAGCACCTGACTCCGGGCTCCAGTCCCTCAGGGGACCAGCCAAGGTAAGCCTGCTGTGCGTCTGCAGAGCCAACAGTGACACAGGAAGCAGAGGACACAGGGAGAATCCACAGGGAAGAGCATTTAAAACTTTGATCACAGGCGCTTCTTTATCCAAAGAGTGGTGGGGGGGTGGTGGGACAAGCTGAACAGCCAAGTAGTTGAAGCCGATATCCTGGTTTCTTTCTAGAAACAGCTGGATGTGATCCTCCAGTCAGGACAGGTGGCGCTTCTTTACACAGAGGGTGGTGGGGGTGTGGAACGTGCTGCCCAGCCATGCTGTTGAAGCCGGTGCCCTGGTTTCTCACAAGACATAGACAGAGTGGCCCTGTGTAGAGATCTGCACCTCAGGAGAAGGGTAAGTGACTGACTCAGGGGATTATGCAAGAGGCAGAGATGGGCTGACAAACCCGATTAATCAATGAAGCGCGTGGCTAACCCCATCACACGTTACTTCACAGGAGAGAACGGGAGCGAGGAACCCACGATGATGCCATTTCCTGCTCTGAGACACAGGGGGCTGCAGTCCATTGAGAAAGGGCTCAGCTCCGACCCAGCGTTCCGGCCCGAGCAGGAAGTGCCTTTCAGGATCTTGCTCAATCGCATCACAAGACAGAGTAGCACGCCTGTCATTTTCATCTTTCATTTTTATTTTTGTCCAAGCACACAGGAGCTTTGACCACACACACTGCCTGTCATAAGACCCATCAGCTCTTCCTGCCTGACGATACCCACAATTAGAGCAGTGTCCTCAGTCTCTCCTACAGCAGTGTCCT